AAATTTCAGAACGAACCTCACAGTTACGAAGGCCGGTCTTTGCAAGTATTGGTACTTCCTGGCTTGGCTCAACAACTGGGGCTGGCTGTAGTGGCTTTGGCAGGATTCTAACTTGCTTTTGAACAGGTGCTTCATCACCATCTCTGCCGGGTAAAGTGGGAGTAATCCCCGGCCCCATCTGCAAGCTCTTCCTCATATAAACAGACGATGACGACCCACGCTGGGTTGCAGTGTCCGCTTTTCCTCGTTTGGCTTCCCGTAGCTCTGCTGTAGACGGACTCTCTGTCACCTTCTTACCCCGTTTTAACCTCACCGATGCCTCTTGCTTTGCTCGAGACTTGATACACAAATCCCGAAATTCGGAAAATTGTCTTACACGGTTAAAACAGTTCCTACAAATATACGTAGGTAATTCGTCACCCGCAACAAAAGTAAGCCCTGTAATTATCTCTAAACTGCTTAGGAGTTTTTCAGCCTTTGCTTTTTCTCCAAATAAATCAATCGGATTGCTTTTGACATCTGAATTACATCTGCAAACGCGTTCACGACCTGGTAGAGTCTTCACTGGAGTTTTGTCCGCCATTTTGAAAACTCTATAAAATCTACTGCTCATGCTCACACGTTCAGCCAATGAAAACTCGAGTTGAAACGGACTATCCCAGAGGTCCCCGTTGCCCGTTCAGGTTGACAAAGCAACGCGGACTCTGGGAACGAGATTGGTATAAGAAAATGTATGGAGATAAGGAAACTTTTTCAAATATATCGATTATGAGCTCACGGGTGTTCGGTGCCCGACTCGAAACATGTTGTGTTCGCATCTGGGTTAAAAATAGCTAATTAGAAGTAGGTTTACTTACTTCCTGACGTGGCCATTTTTATCCCTCGTTGTACGCTCCATTTCTCCATATATTGTCTCTTAAAATCTTGCCGTAGTCATGCGAAATACTCGTCGATTAGAGGATAAACCCTTCACTGAAGTAAATTTGCCCGACTCGATATCACTTCTGCGATGGAAGATGTTTCCAAAACAGTCGTTAAAAGGACAATTTTTGCGCTGCAAAATACTTCCAAAGGCGCATTATTTCCCTCAGTTTTCCATCTGTAGTCCAGTAATGGACGCCACAGTTGCGAATGACACATTTCGGTCGGACAAAGCTTCACAACTTCAAACCTCACCGAATCTCCATTTTGTTTGTTGCTACAACTCCAGAGATGCTTCACGGGATATAAACTAGGTTCCAGGCATTCAGAAATCCTCGATTAGCCTACCAGGCTTGGTTTTACAACAAAATTGTCACGAAAATGTCACGAAACTTACATCCGCGTACTGTTTTGTTGCTATCAGCCGCTCGGCCGAGTATAGACCTAACATTTTCTTGCAAGGTGTTTTATTCCAGCTTTTTTCTTCGTAAAACAGATCCACAGAGCTCAAATTATTTAAAAAATTGCAGGGGATACGCTTTCCCTGACTACGATCGTTTTTTTCCGCCATTTTGAAAATGAGATTCCGCTGACAATGAATCACGGGCGCGAAATGTCCACGATTTCTGGCAATGCAAAAACTCTGGGTCCATGTTCTCATACTTTGATAAGTGGTTTCTTAATGTCACATTCAGAATGAATGGAGAACAGACAAGGCCAAACACTAACCGCGTAAATCTTAACTTGAGTATTTCTGAATTCAAGGGGTTGACATCATCAATCCATAAGAACCTCGGCAAATTCCTATCCTCCGGCTTGACTTCAACATTAAGAAATGCCGTCTCTAAATCTCCGATCAAAGCAATCTTTGGGAGACGAAATCTCAACAGGATATCAAATAGCAATGGAGTTAATACAGGTCCAGATAAAAGACAGTAATTCAAACTTGGTTCATTGTAAGACTTTGCACTGGCATCATAAACAACTCGGAGTTTAGTGGTAGCTTGATCTTCCTTCAGTACGTCCTTGTGAGGAATGTAATGAACAGTTCCTGGGACAACTTCCTCTTCAGGCTTGTCAATCACTTCAACAACACCACACTCCAACGGTTCTTTGATTACATTATCATACTGGTTTAGTAACTTTGTTTCCGATGACTTCAATCCTTTCAACAGGGAGACCAGACGGTTTTGTGGCAAGGAGTAGTTGTCTGAAATGATGGGGTGTTCTTTCTTGAATGGAAGAGAAACTTCATAGCGGTCACCATTGAATCTTACTTTAGATAGATACTCTTTACAGAAATCTTCTTCCCTTCCTTTAACTCCGATATTGTCATAGTCCCTAAAACGTGGCTAGTTGTTCTTTCAGTGAGGCATCATTTGCATTAAAGTCTTCCGTAACCACTTGACACTCAGTTTTCATTACATGGGACATATTAACACTTGAAGGACAGTGATCGGAACATACAAGATTGACAGGTCCACTCAGCACATAACCCAATCTTGTACAGATTGCTACTGGGCCATGCAACTCCCCCCCGTACCACATGATTTTGAACAACAGTCCAATAGTAATCAGCTCCCAGCACGACATCAATTTCTAGACCCTCATCACCTTGTGATTAATCAGCAAGAGGCAAACCTTGTAAATGTGGATAACACTGCCTTGCTACTTCAATTGTTTGATTTGCAATAGGACCACAGATTAATCCAACTTCATAGGCATTGATGAACACTATCGAATTGTCCTGGTATTCCAACGCAAACTGAACAATGTTACATTTCTTTAGCGAGGGTTCATTATTTCCAAATGTTTTAATTAAAACTGTTTCCGTTCTAATTGAAGGCAGACATAATTCGTTGCTCAACCTCGTGCTTATGTAGGACTTCTGAGCACAATAATCAAGCAGAATTCTCACATTACAATAAACATCGCCACTGGGATTTCCGACCTTTGCTCTTGCCGTTTGTAATGCACTTATCACCGGAAACCCCACCCCGGGGAGACGTGGGGCATTAGACAGCTGAACGAAAAAAAGGAAGAAAAAGCTCCACCTAAAGGGGAGAATTTTTAGGTTAAGCCCCGACTAAAGGTTTGGATTTTTCAAAGACTGGTTAACATGTAATAGCGAAATATGCAAAGTCCTACTTTTCTGACACACGTTGGAAACACTGTGACAATTCATGTGGCTTATCCATCAGCTAGGTTTTTGAGCAACTGTTACACTACCATAGTCCTTGGGAAATGTCAATTTCCCTGATGCCTGATGAGAAGTGGTACCACTTAATGGCACATGTCTTGGCGTCACAACCTGTTTTCCACTTCATTTCTCCTTCCACATGGGCATCTGATTCTATGGAACTAAACACATCACATAAGAAGGAATAAAGTTGTAAATAGAAAGGCATTGCAGCACATGTGCATGTTACACTTGGATCAATCAATCACAATCCTTTAAAAGACAGCAAACATAATACTGACAACAGTCATTCTCATTGTTTTCCAAGCCCTCTTGGACTTCAATATTTTGCCTGTAAGCTCGAGTATTAAAGCTTTAATGAGGTCAATTTTTATTAACTCATCACTAGACGATGCTGGTACTTCGTTTACAACATCAGGAACACTTGAAGCCTGTTCATCCACAACTGAGAACCAGAAAGGTCAAGAAGTTACTTCTTTAGAATCACTTAATGTAACAATTCTACGCAAAATATGTTGACTGAAAATACGTTATTTAATTTTAAAATGTAAGTATTACAACCTTCCCATGCTAGCTCACAACTGTGCAACATTTCATACCTTAAGCTGGAAATTTGCAATTAAGATAGCACTTAAGACATAAAATGCCATGCACTTGCAATTTCCTGTAAGGATCCTAAAACTAAACATTTAGTGCTACTAGGATGTACCTCGCTTTGCTGCTCTCTTTGCTGCAGCTTTTTGCGCTCCTTTGATTCTTCTTGCCCTAATTCCTTTCAGATGATTAAGCCACATCACAGTCTCCTGCACTGTTAAGTGGGTTTCCTTCGCCAAAATATCAGTTCCTGACTTAACAGTTTCATTGAATGCATCCTGGAGAATAACTGATGGGGGATCAGACTGGACATCTTTGTTCCCATGTTCTTGAACATGTAGCAAGGCTTGTTGAGGCTTCATATAGTGACCGGGACATTGACCTTTACAGCTGGAGCAGTCACCGCCCCATGGTTTTGCAGGATCAGGGACTGGAAGTGGGAAATAAGTAAGGGGAGGTCCACCTTGATACCAGCAACTCTGTTCTTTGTTCCCAGCCATACACAGGCTATGTGAGCATCCCGGTTGAAAGCACAAAGCAAGCACTAAAAACTTGTTAGACAAGTTTGGCAACTTGTGACTGAGATACACTTTCCAAACTTAATGAAAATACTTGTACATTTCAGGATGGTTTCTCTGCAAACTTTCTTTTTCGGTGGATTTTCCGCTTAAGAATTTCAGCAGCATCTGCCATCAGCACCTTTGTACAACTGTACTTTCGCTTCCCCACATGGAGTCCCTTGCACTCTTGAAATATACACATCAGCTGCTAAATCAAGGTTTTTTTTCCAACTGATTCTCATCAGTCCCCTTAGCAGTATGAACAGGTCCTCCAAGGGTAGAAGGGATGTATAGGTTAGAGTGGGCAACAGCTAAGCAGCCATTCATAAGTTCCACCTCATTAAGGTAAGATCCACCGGAATACCTGGTTGTAACACAAGTGAGCTTATGATTCTGCTTCAGATATTTCTCAGCCCACAAGAAAGCCACCTCTTTATTACTCGGCCCCTCGTCCCCAGCTCCATGAACTCGCACACACCAAACACTCTTTGGGTTTCCATCAGGACACTTGAAGACAGATGACAGTTCCTCCCTACTTTCTAACATTTGCACATCTGCCATGTGCTGGGTTGGGCACTTCTCATACACAACACGTGGTTTCACAACAACAGCACAAACCTTGGGAGTTGTACCAGTTTCCGGAAAGAGATAACATGAAGTCTGGAGCAAAGCTGAATAGTTGTTTACAAAGTCTGTTCTTGTTGTCAAGTCAGGCTGGTTAATCAGTTGGATACCTTTATGTTGTTTGTGGGTGTAAGTGGTGTCGAGGTGAAACCCTGCAGCATCATCACGATTAAGGATCACGTGATCACTGCCATCCTACAACTGCAGATCATGAAGACCTTGATATACTGCGTTACTCCAATGAGCATCTGGGTTCATTTTGACAGAGAAACCCTTCCTCGCAAAACACAATTGTTCTCAACATCCTGAGTGAAATACAAATTTTTACTACAAATTTTTGAAATACAAATTTGTACTTACGCACGTCTTTCCCGTATTTGTAATTCTTCCGCAAAGGGTTTCATCACAGTGTCCAAGTCCCATTCGTCAGACATACCACGACTTAAAATAAGACGTACCTCATGCGGTATTTTGGCCATTATGACAGGCGCGAGAAATGTTCCGTATGTCTCAGATGATACACCGATTCCTTGTAAACTTTGGGTGGCCGCTTCAGTTTTGTCCAAAAGTTGCCGTAGTTGTTTCAAATCACGGGAATTATTCAGTTTTGGCAACTGCATCAACATTTCAATGTGTTTTGAAATAATTACTTGTTTGCTTCCAAACTGCTTCATGAGAAGATCGACCGCATAGTTGTAATTCGACCCGCTCAAAGGCAAACCCGAAACAGTTTCAGCTGCAGTTCCCACTAACAAGGATTTCAAATACTGAAATTTGTCGATTTCGCTGAGTTCCTCGCTTAAATTGGATAGCACATGAGAAACTGTCCCGAAATGTTGTCCATTCTGTGGGATCGCCAGCGAACTTCGGCAAAGTGAGTTTTGGAAGTTTAGCCTTGCTACTCGTTTTGGCGCCAATCGGAGCTTCTTGTTGATTTATCGACGGCTGAATTTTTGGATTCCTTGGCAAACGATAACCGTGAAAAATAAGCGAAATTGTTTCTTGAAGGGAAGCTTCGAATTCACAGCGGACTAATATTTCTTTTTCAATTGCATCCGCTCCCACTAATTCCGCGATTTCTTGGTTGAGAGTTTCGATCTGTTTCTGCTGTTTCTCGAGGTTGATCTTGTGAGACTAGCGTTGGGCGAATATTTTCCACGTCCTCTTCTTGGAGCAATTCTCTGACTGTACTTACAATCTTTCGCACGTAGACTCTTAAGCCCGACCGTTCCAAAAATTTTTTCATGACATCTGAGATTGTCACGTTTACTTGTAAACTTTTCCACCGTGAAATGATCAGTGTAACATGTGTTGTAGCTTGTTGTCTTCTGTTCGTTTCCGATCCGCGTCAGTCCTTTGCGCTCAGTTCATTCTTGAGTCAATTCATTCTTCCCGGGTCTCCGGCACCAAAAATGATGAATTGACCTTCTCAAACTCATTAATTATTTATACGGTTATAAACCAATCGGAGTGCCCCATTTTGGTCAGCTGGATGTATCTTGGTACCCAATGAAATCTAGATCAAGATTACTCCGGTTAGTTCAAAAACTGATGAAAACACTGATCAAGACACTTGAATTTTAATTAGCAACCTCAGTTACCATACAATCAATTATTCACTCTCGTACTTCGAAAAGTTTTTCACAAAGTGAAAATTACAATTCCGGAAAGTTCCCTCGTGGAACGCAGCATTAAACCAAAGATTTTTGTATTGTAAAAATACACTGTATACAATAATGACTTAGCTGAGCTCTCGTTCCTAATAAGTTCATCTCCCGGAATTTTCTTGTGAAGCCCTTCTCGAACGCCATCCTTCATCTCGGCATCTAAGCAACGTCGGAACAGGACAAACCTTCGAAAAACAACACACCAAATTCAATTCCCAAAACAGTGCATTTTAAAATTCTGAACAATGCAGTCTAAAAGTTGTCAATTACCTCTTGTCACTAGCGTCCAGTTAGTTGAAGCTGGAACGGCGTCATTCACCTGAACATTTTCTTGAAAAGAAGTTTTAGGAACGCGAAATCGTTCTGATCCGGACTCGACCTCCATCACGTGCCGTAATGTTAATCTACTAAGAAACCCGCCTGCATGGCCGCATATTAAATTTTCATTTCATTTACCACGAATAACAAACAAACAATAGCCTATTGAGCACGTCTTATAATTACCTATTTTTCGGAAATAATTACACTTAATTCTCTCACTAGTTTGAGAAGTCATGCCAAAAACTCGTGCTTCGTGTTTCATCAGGGGTTCCAGACACCTCGAAACAATAAAAGCCCTCGGCCTGCGGCCTCGCGCTTTCATCTGTTTCTCGGTGACTGGAACCCCTGATGAAACACTCGCACTCGTTTTTGACATGTTACATACTCTTTATTCTGATAATAGATAATTTTCCGTACAAGACTGACTCCTAAAACTTTAGATCCTTTCCGAGATACTGTAAACCGTTCCGAACTAGATAAAGGAAAAACACTGAATGGTTGAATGATCCGATTACTCAATCTCTAACGCCTATTTTTCACGTGTTCTCGAGCTACGGCCCAGTCCTATCTTGTTGACAACACGAACCAAAATACGTCCCCGAAAACTGCGAACGCAAGGAAAATGAAGTAGACGAAGAAACAAACTTGTAAGGTCTCCCCCTGCGTCGAAGCAGAGTTTGAGTTTGTAGCACCTGGTTCAACCTTCACCGGCGAAAAATGTCTGATTGGTCGACGGGCGACTACGTGACATTGGCAAATTCAAAATGGCGGCAATACCTCCATCGTTTGTTTATTCCAGTGGAAAGAAGATTAATCGCGGTTTAATATGAGTTGCAAATGCATATACCTAGCTCAACGCATTGATCAATGAGTACTAAGGGGACAGAGATTGAGAAAATGTGGCCCGCGTGAAAGCCGAGAACGCTCTTCTTCCTGTTTATAGAAAAGAGCTAAGAAAAGTACTCTTGGAGAATCTACAGATGAATGCAGAGGAAAAGAAGAAAAATTACATCACTGTAAACTACGAGACTAAACGTAAACAGCATACTAGAAAAATTAAGCTCGGCAAGGTGCGAGCGGTAGAACTGGCTGTGTCGAGTGACTAACGCGAGAGGCGACAAGGCTTAAATACCGAGATGTGACGTGAAATCCCTAGAGGATCAAACTGCGGCCATAAATGCAAATTCCGAACATAAACACATTCCTCTGCTATGTCACTGCGTTCCGCCGCAGAGAAAACGTTTAAGTTCTAATCAGCAGAAAGGCAACAACACGTGAAATAGGAAGGACACGACCAGTTGTGTCGAGAAAAACAAAGAACGAGAGCGAGCGCGCGTAACTCAGAGACCTATGCGCGAAGTAGCAAGAAGCTGTCGTCGGAGATTTTCACGGCAATATAATTCCTTGGCAGAGTCAGATTTCCACCTGCCGTGGTTTTTAATGACGTGATCGGGAACTCCGCTATTAAGCGCAGCCGAAGCGCCCCCTATCCTAAGCGAGTGCAAACCTATACCCGACTGGCCCAAGATTTCCAACGTTTGAAACAACCGTGGTAGGTCTTGAACGTGCTAGGAGCCTTGCTGTGGGCAAGAACCGCTGGAATGTGCGTACGCAGGCTCTCCAAAGCCGGATGGTGAACACGTGATACCCTGGAACTTGTAAACAAATAAAGGAAAAAATAAGGCATAAGAGAAAAGAGGAAAAATGGTAGACGTGGAATTCCGATTGCAATTTATTAAACGTGGACAACCAATAACGCGTACATACTAAGTATAGGCAATAGCAACAATATACGGAGAAAACAAAAAACCCCTAAAATTCGTAGAACGTTGCCAACAAAGGCCATACGTTTACAAAAGATAAGCAAACACGCTCTAGAGCGACCGTCAATAAGGCACTAGCCTGTAAAAAAAACTATGAAAAAACGAACCGGAATAAACCGAAAAAAAAGGACACGCGCTATAAAGCGCTAAATATCGTACGTGAACCGCTATAAAGCGACAAGGGTCACACACGAACCGCTATAAAGCGCTAAACAGCGTACGTGAACCGCTATAAAGCAACGAGAGTCGTCCGTGAACCGCTAAAAAGCGCTACGTGGAATAGCGCGAAAAGCTCTGCAATAAAGTACCAATGCCTGAATAACGGCTCTAAACACGCGAGCTGGCGTCCAAATAAATAACAAGTACAGGAGCGCGAAAACCGAAACCGCTAAAAAAAGTAGGGAACCCGAAGTGGGAATCGTCAAAAATACCTGACGAGTCAGAAAATTCTATGATTCGGGAAACCGAATCCCGAGGGTGACCTAGAGGAAAGAGGTAAGGCCAAAAACTAGCGGAAGGCCATTTGGGGGCGATAAGCGTACCGCGCGCGCGAGACGTTTCCAAATGCGCTAACGTACGCGCAACAAGAAAGACTGGAGGAACCAAATAGTTGTTAACGCCGCCCCAACTGGCACTAAAAGCGTCCACGCCCTCGCAACCGGGACACCAGAACTTAGAGTAAAAACGCTCGCACTTAGCGGAAAGAGAGGATGCGAAACGATCGACGTCAAAAGGACCAAAAATACTGCTAACATGTTGGAAGAAAATAGTGGAAACAGCCCAATCATCATAATAAACAACGCGACTGACCGAATCCGCGTAAGAGTTGAGTGAGCGTGGGATCCACTCAACTTCAAGTGAAATATCATGTGCGGCACAATAGGCGAAAATTTCGAGAGCTAAAGCATGCAAACGAAGGCTGTTGCTGCCCTTGGCGGAAATAGACGCCGCATTCTTACTATCCGTAAAGACCTTGACCACTTGGCCCGTAAGGGAAGCCCAAAACGATTTCAGGCGGTAAAGAATGGCTAACAATTCCCTAGCGTTACTATCTAAACCGGACTCCAAAGAGGAAAACGCTTGAAAGAAAAGATCGAACTCCTCACTATCAACGCGGAGGGCACACCCACCGCAGGCGAAACTGCTGGCGTCGGAAAACACGAGAGTCACGGGAAGTGAATATCTGGTGAGGGACCTCCCATTGAGTCTGGCACAGTTAGAAAGCCAGAAATCAATTTCCTGAAGGCATTCGGAGAAAAACTGATAGGACCTAAAATCCAAAGGACAATCCCACCCGCTGTGAAGTTTGACGAATGATTGCAGGAATCTGGACATAAGGAGTGTAATGTTGCCATAACCAGGGGTGAGGGAAATAATTTGCCCTGTAACAGAGGCAACCGCGCGTGGGGTAACGGAGCGAGAACCAGATTTTAGTGATAGGAGTGCCCTAAGCAACTTGACAATGCGGCGGTGAGGAATAAATATGCGGCCACGCGAAAGATCCCAGACAATGCCCAACCATTCTAAAACCTGGGTAGGAACCCAAATAGATTTCTCCTCATTGGCGACCACGCCCGCGTTGGCCAAACCAGATCTAACAGCCGAAGCAGTACTCTGAGCTACCGAAAAATCATGGAGGCATCCGGCGCCGTCGTCTAAATACAAGACCAAGGGTATGTCCCGGGAGCGCCAATGCTTAACTAGCGGCCTAAAAACCTTAGTGAACACGTAAGGCGCTGACGAGAGACCGAACGGGAGCACGGCGAAAACAAAAAACCTGGGCTCTACAGAGCTACCGAGGGGCCTAAAAAAGTTTGAGATTCCTCATGAATGCTAACATGGTGATACCCAGACTTCATATCGAATTTAAACATATAATCTGGCGAGTGTACGTAATTAAGAAAAGTCCTACTATCCTCCATTTTAAACTTAACTTTGGGAATAAGCTTATTGACGTGACGGAGGTCGAGAATAAGGCGGCACTTTCCCACAGAGCTAACGGATACCGTTAAAGGATTGACAACCGTGGGAGGCGTAAAAACTTCGATAACAGAACCCGCAAGAAGCAGATCAGAAATAGTACTGTCAACAAAACTGGCATGATCTAAGGCAGACCTATTGTTACAGAAAAAAGCTCTAGGAGGCCATGAAATAAAAGGAATGCGATAACCGAAACGGATGATATAAAGAACCCAAGGGGAGGAACCGATACTAACCCAAAAATCAACCTTGCTCCTGAGCCTATCCTTATAAACTATGGGCGCTGACCCCTGCTTATACTCAAAACCACGAGAGGACAAACCTTGTTCGTATTCAGAGTCGAAACAGTACTTATCTTGTGAGAGTAAGTCAGCAAACTGCTCCTCCACACGGGCGTTGACATCACCCGCCTTCGAGCCAGCGTGCGAAGGTGAATAGTGAACGCCTAGAGCGCCGGAAGCCTCCTGCTGTAAAGACGCCATAAAAGAATTTTCAGGGACGGTTAACGGCGCCTGTGGAACTAGCTGGCAGCTGGCTAGATGAACAGCCGACGTGAAACCTTGCGAGACGGACCGGGCACTCCTTCCACCAGTGGCCTGAAGAACCGCAGTATCGACAAGGCCCTCGGGTGAATTCACGGTTAGTGGTGAAACTGTGTTGGTTTGTCGAAGAGGAAGCGAACGGCTGTGAAGATTGCCAAGAACGCTGGCTCCCGTTGAACTGCCTTGGGTAAGGGGAGAAGAAAGGTTGAGGTTGACGATTTCGGACCGCAAATCCCTCAACATTACGCTTCTTTCTTTGTCGAGCTTGATCTCTCAGAGCCTGCCTCTCTGCAGCGCGAATTTTCTTGTCGTCGTCCTCGCTCAACGAGACGGGATTAGATTCGTAGTGTTTAACGGTCAACCAACCGGCCTCGGACGAATCCGCGATCCGTATCTTGCGGTTACGTTCCTGTAATAGTTGTACGGTTTCGTCAAGAATTGAAAACGCCTCAGACTCGGGAGGTAGATCGGCCAAACAATCCTTAAGTGAAACAAGCTTGGCTAACACTTGACCGTTAAATTTGAAATTACGTTCGTTGCCGGTGTGATTAAACTTGATCTCCGACTGTTCCTTCAAAGAATTAGAAGCAGAAAGGGCAGCTGAGGCGACCTCTTGCGATTTCTGTACCTCGGACGAAATAACTGATTTGTGAAGGGCGAGCTGACTAACAACGAAATCCTTGAAACTAGCAAGATCTTGCTTCGTAACAGGCTCGTCTCCCATACTACAAAATTAAGCTCGGCAAGGTGCGAGCGGTAAAACTGGCTGTGTCGAGTGACTAACGCGAGAGGCGACAAGGCTTAAATACCGAGATGTGACGTGAAATCCCTAGAGGATCAAACTGCGGCCATAAATGCAAATTCCGAACATAAACACATATTTACAAAGACAGGCTTTTGTACATTATGCTTTTGTTTCCCCACTAAAATGCTCCACCTTAATGCTCCATTTTTCCCACTAAAATGCTCGGTCTCCCCCAAAAAAGTCACTAAAATGCTCGGATAATGCTCATTATACAAACTTTTTTTTAAATTAATTTGAAAGTTTACACTTACGTACAAGTGTTGCAAGTAACGACAACGTATACAGGTTTGTGAATACCGCCAAAAAAACATGAATACATGATCCTCGAAATCATTCTAGGGACCCTATAAAGTTATTTGTTGTTATACTGCAAAATTAGTGACGTTTCGATGTAATCTTCTAAGGCTCGTTCTTGTCGATTGTTGAAGGAATTCTGCAGAAGTGAAAAAACCCTTTCAGAAGCAGCTGACGATGGTTGCAATAACAGGATCTGCTTACATGCACTTGCCCAACTCGGTATTTCTTTGCTATGCTGACTCCACCATTCCAGCACATTTATCTCTGCCGCAACGTCATCAGTCAGAGCTTGATAAGCTGCAAGCTCACCCTGAAGAGGTTGAATGACATTGTCTGCATCAAAAAAGGGAACACAGCGAAGTGTGTCGACAGCAGCAGCATCAGGTTGCATCTCTTTCACTTTGACTGGGTCAAAGAGGCGACATGATTTGAAAATCGTGACCAGTGGCTGAAGAGGACCATGATTAAATTTGTCTTGATAATATTGATATGCTGGCCGTATACACTGTGTAGCATAGTTAATCCACTGCTGTTGCACAGGAACGTTTCCTTGTGAGAGTAAGCGGGACACAGCAATGACATCTGGGTAACAGGCATTAGCTATACTGGACTTCACAGTTCTTAGGTGTTGATATGCTCGTAGTGCCAGGGGTCCATCTCCTTCCAGATCATATGTTGCCTTGACAAAAGGTTCCATTGCATCCACTGTGGCTGCAAGCTCAATTTTCAAAAGAGCCTGCTGCTGCGGTTGACCACAGATGTCAGTCAGCTTCCTCCTGGTAACTTCTGGTAAATCAGTTGTGTTAAGAAAGTTAGGTATGTCACCAAACAAATCATGGACTTGTTTTATAACTTCAAACTTTGACCACCATCTGGTAGGAGAGTGGGTTTTGGGAATTTGTCCTGTCTGTGTTTTGAATGCAATTCTGCTTTTGGGACTGTGAGCAAAAAGACTTATCCAAGCCTTTATAAACTGATGCAAGACAGGTGTTTCCATTTTCTCTCCTACATGATCTAGGGTGTGACTGAAGCATCCTATGTCAACTAGATTTGGGTAAAGTATTTTTAGTGTTCGAACAGCCACATCATTTACTGAAGCCCTGTCTCTCATGGCTGCCAAAAGAAGAGCCGAGTTGATACCCAAATTTGTGGATAGGCATGACAGTAGCTGCTGTGCAAGTTCCTCACCAGTCATTGATTTTGTCACAAGCAGCAATTTGACTAAACGCTGTTCAATCTTCCAGTCATCAGACACAAATCTAAGAATGATGTTCATAGCTTCTGAAACGTGTGTTGTACCATCAAAGATGACGGACACATTCCTTCCAGTTATTTCCTTCTTCACTTTTTCGTTCTCTTCTTTGTTTATTACATCAATCATGCTCGAGAGATTTGAGCTGTGTGACAGCGAATAGCCTTGTTCTTCAAAAATCTCTCTAAATTGATCTATCTTATTGATGGCAACGCCAGCTTTCAGGAAAGTGCGAACCACTTTGAATCTATAAACACGTTGGGCCATACTCTGGGTTTCACCCTTTGGATGATTTTCGTTGTCATATGCTATGAGCACATTTGCAATGTCCTGTTCCCTGCTCTCTTTAACTGCTAATCTCTCTTTCCCCCTGCTATGTTTCGATGATTTTATGTGCTGCTGAATAATTGTCTTCTTTAACCCAACTTCCTCTCTACAACCAGTACAAAATAACGTACCTGCTGATTCCTTGAAGTTTTCTCCTGGAAATTCCGTTAAACGCTGACGAATACTCACGTTAGGGTTGCTGGTTCCCTTTGGATGCACAAAACGCTTTCCACTGTGCTATAAATTACATGGAACCTTTCGTTTCCTAGCCAAGTCTGAAGGAGTCGGGACTTTCAGGGTATCAATTATACTTTGTCTTTGTCTTTGTACCGGTGGCGGGTCAGCCTTGTCAGGATTGTTAGCTGACTGAGACTGATCTGACATCAGTGACACAGAGCAAACGAAGGCGTTACACGGGTCACGAAGAAAACAAATATGGCCGCCTTTTGAGTCTTGAAGGTAAAACCGCTGACTTGTACTCAGTCTCCACTCAGCTGTATTAGGTTTTTTCGTGAATTTTGAGTTTCTTTTAAAAAGCAGGACTGAAAAAAGTTAATTTCTGTTTTATTTTCTTGCAAAAAATTAATTTTCCGGGAAAATGCCACTAAAATGCTCGAATAATGCTCAATGCTTTTGCCTCACTAAAATGCTCGAAAAAATGCTAGCATAATGTACAAAAGCCTATACAAAGAACAAGAGAAACCGAAAGAAACAAAGAAAGTCGGACTCTTGGCTTAGAGGCCATAGGGACATTGCGTAGACACGGAAGGATTATTTATTATTCCTCGAAATCGGACGGAGAAAACGGAATTGTAATAGTCAGTCAAAAGATTAATTTTCATTCCCTTTCCTTTCAAATTGCTGTGTATTTGACTCTTTTTGTCATTGTTTTTTAATAAAGTTTTTTAAAAAGGTATCTCTTGTCTGGTTTTATTGCTAGCAATTATGAGTCGCGTGTTTTAATTTATCCTTGTTAAGTTATTTAGTAATACGTCAAGGTGCTCCCTTGGGGTTTTTACCGCAGAGGTAATTTGCATTCAACGGTGGGCTTGCGAACTCGCATAATTACGTGACTAACGGCGCGTGAAACGCTGAGACTTTAATAGTTTTTCATTTCATCTAGATAGAACGGAGAAAACGTCAGACAAAATTGAAATAGAGCTTTCAGCTTCACTCTGTGTAAATGTGTTTGTTTATATAAATCCGAGTTTTAGAGCTAAATAAGAAGACATAAACTAAATTGAAATCCAATTTGTGTATGTGTTTTGTTTATATCTGAGTTTTAGCGCTAAATAAGATGTAGGAAGCCGTTTCTCGCGTTGCTAGGTGATCGCTTCTCCTTATTCCTATTTTCCTTTTAAGGGCCTGTTTACATGGAGGTCGGGGACCCCGGGTAGGTGAGGTAACCCGCTTAGGTGGGGTAACCCGCCTCTCCATATAATCTCTCATTTTTATTTGATCGTGTTTACATGATAGGTGGGGTGACCCGCCCTGGCGGGTTACCCGGTCTGGCAGACTGGGTAACCCTCTCAGCCGGTGTAAAAATTTGCCATGTAAACGTGTCAAGGTGAGGTAACCCGCCTGGCCGGGGTCGTGTTACGTTCTTCGCGCGAAATTCAAATCATAACAATATGGCGGCCCAAGGCAAGAGAAAAGCCCTCGTTCTCTCGGAGAACGAAGAGCAGGCTACAACCAGCTCTTCAACTTCAAAGAAGTCCAAAAAATGTCCAAAAAACAAGGTTTGGACATCTGAGCAAGTGGAACTTGTTTTGAGGTACATAAAAGATTACAAAACGAAGTGCGACTTCAATGGAATAGATTTCGAAGCGGACCTAGCTTCCATGTATACAGAAATACGTCGTTGCATGGCCGTCGATTTCCCAGACGATTTTGGCCCTGAAGTTCTTACTGAGCCCACGAAATCACTTAAAGAGATGAGTGAGGAAGAATATGAAGCTTTCAAGAGACAACGCGATACTGAACGATCTCAGACCAAGAAGGTTACGACAGAGTGAAAGAGAAGATAAGAAACGTCAGGCAAGATTTCTGCGCAGCAATAAACAAGGGAACAAGAAGCGGTAGTGGGAAAATTGTGCAAGAAAATTTTGAGCTGTTGTCTGAAATATGGGGTGGCTCGCCCGCTTCAACGTCCTTGTCCTTTGGAATTGATGCAGATTTATTAGGAACAGACAAAAGTTTGGAAATGGATGTTGAAAGCCCTGAAGGTATTTATTTCAGCCTTGCTTTATTGAACTTTTTCAACTAGGAAGAACGATTGACCCGTTCCCCCTCCCTTGTTGAGGACTTGCCTTTTCGTCTTAACCCTGAAGAATTCAATAAAATTGAATTCCTCCTGAAGACTCCCACAGATTATGGAAATACCACTTGAGAATTTCAGAAGAAGGTGAGTTTCATTATAAAAATTGTATGAATTCAATCACAATTTTGTTAAAAATTCAAGTTTCACCCCAAAGAATTCCCATTTTCTTTCTCTACCCATAGGAAATCCCTGTTTTGATGAGTAATTTGCTGCTGATTATGAATGGGGCTGAAGGGGGTAAAAAAGAAATCATGCTTCTTTCAGTTGTTTATTTTTTGAAAGGAATAGAAATGATATTTTTAAAACCACAAAACTATTTTACATCCTGTTTAACTTCTGTCTAATTATGTATAAAAACATATTGGTTTCAGAGTCATCAACTCCAGATTCACCTAATACTGCCATTGAAGGTCAGACCAAAGAAACGTTTGAACCATCAACTGATCAGAAACCTAAAGGTGTTGCTGTCTCCAACATCCCAAAGTTAGTTGACAATAAGAGAAGGCACATGGAGAAAACCCTATCCCAGGCACAACGAGACCAGCTGTTGATGAATACTGCCAAAGAAGAGCTTCTTATGAAGAGTGAAATGGTGAAGTCTTTTGAGCAATAAAAAAAATCATTGGAAGACTCCATATCCAAAATGACCACCTGTTTAACATCTCTTGGAGATGGTATTGCTAAAGGAATCCAAATGATGGCAATGGCCTTGTCTGCTCAACCCCCTAACAGTACTGCACATCCTGCACCTCGTGCACCTCAAGCATACCCTCATATTAATACATACAATGGGTTTCCAACACCATTTGCAGATGAAAACATTTACACTCTAAACAGAAGTTATGTACCTTCCCATTTTACCAGAATTGGCAGTGAAGAAGTGGCACAGTCCACCAATGTACGCGGACCAATTTTGGGTGCCAGTCAGACACCAAAAGAAGAAAACAGCCGTGGGTGTTAGATACAATTTACAAATTGAAAAAATCCACATAATTAAGAAAAAAAAAACATTTTTGGTGTTACAGTTCCCTTGAAAGGATTTGATATTGTGTCAGGACATCCTGATATTCTATGATTCATTAAGTGTATCTATGAATCGATACATTATATCCGTCTGATTGAAAATATTTTAAATATAATGGTTCTTATATTGTTACGAAGATGTATTAGTTTCAGCTTTTAGGTAATTTAGCTTCTTAGAACAAAAACAATACTCTAAACGGTACAAAAGCACAAGAAGTGCTTTTATGTAAGGTAATTTATTATTATTTAACATGAAAAATGCCCTTTCAAAAAACAAGGCAAACATTCATGCCCCGCAATTCACAAATATTGTGAAGTACATAACAGGCATAAATTAAGGTTGGGATAAACTTCAATCCAATGTCAACTCTTTTGTTCAATATTTGCCACTTGCTTTGAGACGGCCATAAGCACACTCTATTGGGTTTCTAGAACTCCGAAGCATATTATTAAAAATGACCTCTTCATTTGAACGAGCATTCGGAAATTCCTTCATGCAGTAAGGAAGCAGTGGGTAAGCAGGATCACCCAGTAGTGTAACGGGTATCTTTTCCTGGCCTGGTAGGAGTTCTTTATAGTACATGGGAAGTCTTTTCTCTCTCTACAGTCTGTTTATTCTTGAATTAGCAAAGACTCTTCCATCGTGTACACTTCCTGGCCATTTGATGTCAACATCTAAAAATAGCCCTTTCCAGTCACAAACTCCTTGAACATTCAATGTGTACTTCAGCTTATAGTTAAAATAGTCATGGGGATTCTCACACGGTTGTGCAATGGGAATATGTGTGCCATCCACGCATCCAAAAGCCTGTGGGAATCCATATTTATTTTCCATGCCATCAATCACATCCTTCATTTCTTGATCGGTAGTGGGCAATTTTATGTACTTTGCACCTAAAACATTAGTGATTAAGTCGCATACTTTCCTAACGACCACGGAGACTGTGCAATGAGCAACTCCAAACGCATTTGCTGTCATTATAAGGGAGCCTTGATCCTTTAAAAAGTATAGGGTCATAGCAAGCTGTTTTTCAACTGAGAGCACTTCAAGTCCTCTTGGGCTCTGGCCAGGTTCAAGAAAGGGTCGCAATTCGTCTGCTAAAGACATAAACACTGCACGATCCATTCTTAAGTTCTTTTTCCACTCCTTTTCCGGCAAAATTCAGTTGTACAAGTTAAGCCACCACTGTTCTGTCCTCCCTGAATTCCTCCATACTCTACCTCGACGACGTACAATTCTTCTTCGAATGCGCCGAAGTCTTGCTGCAGCAGCATTGTACTGTTGCCTTGATTGAACAATCAACTGCCTTTGGCGGAGCCTTTGTGTAATCAACAGTGCCAGCAGATAGCTGCAGCAAGAGCAGCAAGGGATAGAAAGAGAGCACTCACCGCCAACAATCGTGGTTTGTCCGCCATTTTGTTTGTTTACACGCTTAGCAACCACTCAATAGAACGCGCACCTCAGAGTGACGGGGTGTTAAGATTGCATGTAAAGGAGGGTTAATTTTTTACCCCACCTAAGTGGGTTACCTCACCTACCTGGGGTCCCCCACCTCCATGTAAACAGGCCCTAATAGACGGTCCGAAACCCGGACGCAAGTTACTTACGGGCAAGCCGAGGCAGGCCTATTGTGCCTATTGTAGTATTCGCTCATTAGTAAACTTATACCGAATTAGTATGCAGGAAGACCCTCATTAGTATGGAGGAAGGCACTTTTTCCCTAGGTTGTAACAATGGGTGACGTCATAGACTCGACCCTTGTACATATTAATTAAGGAAAGGCGAGGGGAGGCACCAACGGGGCTTATCTTTGACCCTAGTATACTACTTATACTATATATAAAAGAAGAGAACTTTGACTGCAAATATGTTAGTTGGAAAAATACTGATTATATCTTTTTAGTATATAGGTTAGAAAAGTGATGCGTAGTCAAAAGTGCTACAAAGGAGTAAAAACCCAGATCTGCCCTTTAATAAATTTTATTGACACTGTCAGGGACACATGCTTTGCTTGAGGACACATTTATTCGTCAAAAATTTGTTTGTGAGGCTGCACTTTGTTTGATTCAGGATCAATCAATCTTTTCTGAAGAGAAATGAACAATAAAGTATGTTAACAAGTCAGATACTTCAACACCGCCTTAGCCAAGAACTAAGAAGAAACTCAACTTGATATAAGAAAAAAACAAAGTGAAAACTACTTCACTGTGAAACAACAAACCCTTCAAATATATATCACAATAAATTCATGCATAATGTAGACCTGATGATAAGTTTATAGGGATAGAAACAAACGATAATTACAATGGAACTATAAAGTTTGAATGACATCTCTATTTGAGTGTTCTCTTATGATTCTGACAAGATCAAAATTGGAAACTGCATATCCTACACAACTGCATTCATCAACATGATCCAACGAAAATTTCATTAAGACTCAAAGTTTATTCCAAACTTTAAACTCCTGTAAGTTTAACTTGTGATGATTTTTTTCTTGGAAAGAACTTTTGAGTACTTAATAGCATGTTAACTCTATCATTCATTCATAACTTTGCTTCAAAAAATTATCCGAAAACGATGGACAGAAAAACAAAAGCGTTCACAGGAAAATTACCCTGTTCATCTCCTTCCAGGATCCAATTTTCAAGCAAAGAAGCACCCCCCACAGAAAGCTTTGTGTGCAAAAAATTTAGTACTAAAAATCGTACACGGAGGAAATCATGTCCGTAAGTGCGATTCCTAACGAGGAAAGTAACAAGTAACTCGTTTTGTGGATAATCCGAAGCCAAATTTATGAGCAAAATAATCTAAACTTCGATCCTTCAATTATAAAATTGCAAGCCTAAATGTACCGCAGCTGTGCACATTGTAAACAGAATTTTTTTTTACAAATCAGAATGTTGCTGGACCTATCGAACTGTAACTCCAAGACGGTCTAAGCGTTTTAATGAAAAAACACTCTCACATTTTCTCATTCGACAGTTCGAATAAAACTCAAATTTCTGTAACATGATAATGTAATAATGTTCAACAACAATGAAATGTGCATCGATCGACAAAATCACGTTTCGAACTACGCACTTTAGAAAACTGCCGCAATTCGGCCGCTTTCGATCCACTAGCCACAAGACAATTTACACAACAAGACAATGGCTAGGTATATCTCTTTACCTTGTTTATAATTTCCTTTTGTACCGAGTGACACGAGATTAAGCTGAACCAAGCGAAAGCTTATTTTTGTGCTATAAACAGTGTAGACACATCGAGATTTAGCATCTAAATACAGTTTTTCCAGCAACAAAGTACAAGCTAAGTCATATTAACAAAACAGAGCCCAAAAATTTCTGTCCCTCTACTTTTTTTTGTTGAATCCGTGATAAGAAACTTGAACTAAACAACAGAAAACATTTTGGATAGCGTTGTAATACGCTCTTCGATCAACAGTCGAATGTTAGATTCACAATCAAAGTCGAATTTTGACACAAAAACGGGATACACATTTAACGAAACTGTCGCTTCAGTGCAACTCGGTACAAGCTACTTTATATACCAAAACAAAGCCCAATAATTCTTCCTCCACTACTTTATAATTTCTTTTTGTACCGAGTTGAACGGAACATGCAGTAAACAAAGAGAGTAAGAATTACCCACCTTTTCGGAGTGTCTTCCACATGCAAACCAGCAATCTCAACGTCAACAACACTGAATCAGATCATGCCGCTGCATTTTTTCGCCAGTTCCAGGACGCTATATTCTCTAGAGAACACACTTCCGTCAAACCTTTGACCAAAATAATTTTTGATCTCTTACAGTGGCAAGAAATTGCAACGCTGTCACTGCCAAAAAAATCTGCCATCGCTTCTTTCATCGCAACAACATTTTGTGGGCATTTTTGCCTCGGAGCTAATGACATTGCCCGAAATAGATCACGTGTCATTTTTTGCAGAGCATGCGTAGACATTTTTCGTCGGTGAAGGTTCAACCGCATTAGTTGGTTCCGAACCGGCAACATTTCCAGACGCACCCGACTGAATTCCCTGGCCAGGAGCTTGTGGCGGCGGTTGTTGATCAGCTTGTGGTTGCAGAGGCAGCACGGCCTGCTGCAACTCTGCCAACGAAACGGAAGCAGGCTGTGCTGGAGAAGAATTCTCCTGATCCGCACTCATGACAGTCTGCGAACTGAACAACTCTGCATATATTACTCAGGTTTATATACTGGCTAATATGTCATCACACGGGATAATGAATCGTACATGAGTGTGAATAAGTGCTTTGTTATCAGCTTAAAGTACGGAAAAACGCGCAACAAATAACGTGCAGCTTGTTTTGTAGCATTGCGGCAAAACGAGTTAAATAGCGATGTTGCGCGTTTTACCACCCATGTTCAAACCTTTTAACAACCTGATTTGTTGCCAAACAGGTTTTATGTGAGTTTTGAAGCGCGCGACGTCGCTTTTCAACTCGTTTTACAGCAATGTTGCAAAACAAGTTGCAGGTTTTTCCTTGCCCGTTTTTCCGTACCTTTAAGTAGTTTCAGACATTTATTTGGAAACGACTCTCCCAGAAGACAGTATGGTTCACACTGCATCGCTTCACCAAGTGTCACTTAGTAGATGCAGATAAATTTGCATCAAGGGTAATGGTGTGATAAAGAACTTGTGGTAAAGGTATCGCTATTTAAAAAAAAATTACTGCGGTTGCACAAAACAAGTCTCCTAGACGTCTTACATTTTGCCGCTAACATGCACTTACTATTTTTGTTGTGTCATCCGGAGAAGTCGTTGTCTTCCTTTTATTTTCTCTTTTGAATAACCTAGAACTTGCTTTATTTCGCTCTGTCATCCGAGGAAGTCGCTGTCTTCCTTTTTTTTCTAACCTCGAGCTTAGGCTTTTGTTTAAGGCTTTTGGTTTGTTTTTCCTCAAGTGTTCAGCTGTTTTGTGTCGCGCCCTTAGTTGAAAAGTTATGCTTATATCGCCTTGTTTTATGCTTACAATATGCCCACGTCGTGAATCGTGGCAGTATATCAAAACCTGCCTCTGACATACCGTTCTCGGTATTATACATTATTTTTTTTTATAAACGATGTGACTCGTATTGTTGTAGAGTTGCCGTAAGCAAAATCTCATGTAAACAAGTTGGTAATTTCTAAATCAGCCTTTATTTTCCCTGATAATATAAAGTTGAAAAGTAAATTGAAGTATTTTAATTCGCATGTTATTCTCATATGTGACTCTGACGGATCCTCGATTATGTTTAAGTACGTGATATTAAAATCGAAATCTTTTCTGGACGTCTGTACTATTTTGAAGTTATTGTAATGGCCATATTATATATATATTTTTTCTTAAACATATTTCCATCACAGCACGTCATTTATTTCAGCTTTATTCCAAGGTCGTGATATAAATAACTTCATGTTAGCTGTTTTTGTACACTTTTGTCAACTTTGAATATCCACGTTTTTGTGTACGAGAGGAAACTTTTTCAGACAGATGCCGACTCGAAGTAAAGTTTTAATCTATTTTTTTTTTAACCCAACGACAATGAACATGGTGGAATCGAAGATACTAGTCTCTCAAGTCTCAAGAGGAACAAGCCATTTATCATAAATAATTTCAATACGCCGGATTTTGTTCAATGTTGTATACCCGGCCTTTTTAGCACTTTCCTTCATTAAACTCTATTAAACTCAGTCTTGGCTTGGAGGCCTTTTCTTTCCTGTGCTCTAATGTGCTTTTAAGACTGTGTTTTTACCTTTTCTTTCAGTGGGATCAAACAAAAGCACTTCCACGTTAAAAGCTTGACACTTCAAAATAAAAGTGGCGAACATTTTCCCGAGAGATGCATTAAGCGCGAAGGGAGCTAATGGAAGAAAGCGGGGCTCTAAAACGAAAATTCGTGAGAAAGCTTAAAAAGCGTGTAATGTTAAATGGACATCATACTCTTTTGTTTGCTAACTTGAAAGTGCTAAAAGCGTAAAGCACTATCATTGTATACACAGGAATAAAAGGTCCATTTGATTTTCAAAAACACTCCATTAAACTACTTTCGTGTGTTGAGATGATATGGGCTGGCAGACCTGATCCGCACACTAGTGGAGAATTTTCTTAAGTCCCATGCAGTG